GTGAAAATGCTATACTTGCTTCGCTAATCCTTGCCTTTACTTATGCTTCAAATCCCCCTTGTTCATCGATGATGTTACCCAAATACGTGAAACTCCCCTACTCTTAGGAGTTTCTCCATCAAGTATTACTGGGTTCGTGTTCTCCATGATGTATATGATGTTCTTAGTTTTTCTCTTGTGCGTGTTGAGGCCTACTGATGCAGAGGCTGTTAACAAACTATTTGTTTTGGCCAGCATTTGTTGGTGTGTAGGAGATAGGAGGGTTAGATCATCTGCAAACTTCAAATCGTCTGGTCGCGTCCAAGCTGTCCATTGTATTCCGTGATTCTTCTCAGATGTGCAGGTACTCATTATCCCGTCAACCACCAGGAGACAGAGGAGGAGGGAGAGTAGGCAACTTTGTCTGACTCCAGTTCTCACCAAAAATGCATCTTTTGTGACCCGTGGATTTGACTCCATTTAGATAGTACGAATTTTCGTTATCACCTATCCTCGTATACAATTATCGACTTAAATCACGTTAGTCAATAACGGAATTTAGATAAGTCAGTTAACGCGAATGGACTTTGAATACATATATTTTGTATGTAAAGTGAATGCGATAGAACGCAGCGAAATGACGCACAGGGGAGATGGCTGGTAAGCCAACTCCATTTCTAGTCAGGCGTTACATAATATTTATAGGCAGACAAAATAAACTACAGACATGTGATGAGTGATGCGACATGAAGTGTGCACACATATACGCTCATATAAAAACAGTCAAGACTGATAAGCGAATAATTAACATGGTCAAAATATGACTCAAGTTGAATGAATAGACTGGCTTGTCCAAAAACTAGAATAAGATATATTATGGGCTAAAAACAATGACTGACACTACACATCTGTCAGCTGACCTCCATGAACGAGTTTGCAGTGTAGTCCGTCCTATAAATTGCATTCGATGTTCACGATCTCAGGTACACCACAGTGTCGAAGAAGGTTAGATGATTTTCTTCTACCCACACTGTCAAATGCTTTCGTATAATCAAGGAGGTTGATATATAGTGACGAGTTCCATTCAATTGGTCATTGAACAATGATCTGTGCACGACCGATCCTCACGGAATCCAGCCTGTTGATTCCGAAGTTGTTCGTTTATTGAATCCTTCATCCGATTCTATTGAAGACTTTTCCTGGTACTGTTTGTAGTGTGATGACTCCGTAGTTCTCATACTTGTTGACATCTCTCTTTGGAATCTTGATAGGGTGTCCTCCTCTCCAGTCCCTCGGAACTTGTTCATCCTCCCAAATCTTCTGGAATAGAATGTGAAGGATGCTTGCAGTCACTTCTGTATCTGACTTTAGTGTTTCAGGTGGTATATTGTCAAGTCCTATTGCTTTCCCGCTCTTCATTTGTATGATGGCAATCCTAATTTCTTTGTTCTTTGGTGGAGTAATATCTATGGGAACGTTTGTGAGTGTTGATTCGAGGTCCGATGGATTCAATGGAACTGGCCTATTCAAGAGTTCCACGGACGATACACCGTACACAAAATGAATAATGACCGAAAGACCCGATTTCAACCGGATGCACTGCGTGTGTTAAAATCTCACAGAGACTGTCAACCAAACGCAAATGGGTTACTGAAACGGGTCACCAAAACCACCAAGATCCATGTTCCATAGTAGTCCACAAACGTTTAGACAATCTGGACGGTTCTTTCGGTATCACTAGAAGTTCGGTTTTAAACCAATCAGATGAAGTCAACATGCGCCTGATCTAAACAGGCTCCTAAGAATACGGGAAAAGAATAAACCCTCCCCAAGTTGTAACGACCGAGATGGGGTGCCTAGACAGTCTCTTGTTTTATGTTAAAGATAGAAATATGCCTTTTGAACAGCTGTATATAGACGATTTGTTGATTATCAGTCCATATTTAACATCACACAAACAACACCTGAGAGCAGTGTTAAGACGTCTGGATGAAGATAGGGGGAACACACGTCAAAATATGTTTTTAGTGTTCCAACTTTGCACAGTAAGCTCAGAAGGGAATACAGCCATCAAAGAAGAGAGGGACACTATTAGGCAATACATAATATCAAGTTCTCTAATACGACTTAGAAGAGTCCAGGGTTTAGTTAACTTTCATCTTAAATTCATACTTAGTTATACATAATTGATGCAACCTCTGACAGACTCCTTTAAAACGAAAATAAAAAGAATTTAAACTTACTTCTAAGGCCGTTAAACAGCTATAAAAGCCGGCTCAAGCATCTACGTTGACGTATCTTAATTTCCATCACACTGTCGACTTGATGGTGGATGTTTCGGACAAAGTAGTAGGCAGTATTATTAGCTAACTGATTGAAAACGCCTGGAAACCGATCGCGTTCTTCTCAAAGCGACTCACTCTAGCAGGGATGAGATACTCTACCTACAGACAAGGACTCGCACTACACCTAGTCATTGGGTGTTTTCAACATATATTTGAAGGCAGAGAATTCATAATTTATATGGATCATAAACCACTAACCAATAAATTAAAATCTAAAGCCGATGAATATCATATCATAGGCCATGACATACAGGAGGTAGACGCATTATCTTGGCTAGAAATGAACATGATACAACAATCTACATTGTGACTCATAGTCAAAAACCTCATTCATCTTTTCCACAACCAATTAAGGGAGAAAAACAAATGGCATAAAACGTAGGGATAGTATGTGTTAAGAAGAGGATAAAGTGATTAGACATATTTATTTTTACATTTAAACGCTGAGAATAGAAAACCGAAGGCCTGTGTTAGCTTCTTTCAGTTTATATTATGTAAGACTCTGGTCTTCATTTAAATAAGTCACTTACATGTAGGGATGCTCCTTCTTCGAGTAATAAGTTTTTTGGGAAAACCCGTATACCACGATGATTTAGTTCGTCCTCAGCTTTTGACACTTCTTCTGTTCTAATCTATTGGTTTAGAAAAAGAGGATACATCAAGCCCAAAATTATTTCCTTATACCAAAATCAGATCACCTCTTATACATCTTCAGTCTTCAGTAATAAGGATAGTAGGTTGATGAACCTGTATTAATCCTGACACATTGTTTTCAAGTGAAGGTCCAGCTTCTCCTTGAAGTATTCACTGATGGGGCTGATACCACTTGTTCAGGTAAGGCGTTCCAATGATTGACTACTCGATGAGAAAAACGGGACCCCACTTTAAGTTTATTAGATCTTGGTTTATGAACCTTCTTGCTATGACCGCGGAGATTATTAGTGCTAGAGGGAGCAAAAAGATAAGACATATTAACACCCAAATCATAATTAAAGATACGAAATGCCAGTATAAGGTCACCTCGTTTCCCACGATACGACAAGGGGAAAAGATTTAGGCGTTTTAAACGCTCATCGTAAGGGAGTCTAGAAAGACCCTTCACTAATTTCGTTCCCACACGCTGGACACGCTCAAGGGAGTTAGTATCCCTTACCAGACACGGGCTAGCTGCTTGGATACAGTACTCTACGTGTGATCTTACATAGGTGGGATATAAAATTCGAAACGTTTCCTCGTCAAAAGACTTGAACGCTTGGTGAAGTGACCATAACGCACGAAAACCCTTGACAGCGGCTGCTTTGCAATGCGTAGTTGTTTTTAAATCACGACTTAATACTACTACTAAGTCTTTATGCTCTTGAACGCATGGAAGAGGTTTACCCTCAATAGTGTAACGGTAACTATTACCGTGACCGATGTGCATTAGCACACTCTTCCTAGCATTGATTTCTAAGCCTCACTCTCGAGCCCATCTAACTAAATCGTCTAAGTCAGCTTGAAGATCCAGATGATCAGCCGCACTTTTTATTGTTCTCCAGATTTTTACATCATCCGCAAACAATAATGTCGACGACCTAAGTAACAGCTGTAACTCATTGACGTAGAGAAAGAAGAGCAGAGGGCCTAAGATGGTCCCTTGGGTACACCACTTTTGACCGGCTTCCAATCGGATAGCGTTCCGTTGACCCTTAATCCCTGTCAGCAGTCACATAAGAAATTTCCTATCCACTCATGTACAGTACCTATTATTCTGAAGCTCGTGAGCTTCTGCATAAGACCTACGTGTGAAACCTTGTCAAATGCTTTGCAAAAATCTACGAATATCACATCGACCGACAGATCGTTATCTAGGGCTGCTGTCCAATCCTCCCTCGCAATAAGCAAGTTAGTCAAGCATGAACACTTGTTACGAAATCCGTGTTGCTCAGGAGCTAACAGATTGTGTAAATCTATGTGGTTTAGCAACCTAACTCGAATTATCTTTTCAAGTAACTTAACGACTATGCTAGTTAGACTGACAGGCCGGTAGTTAGATACTATATGTCTCTGAACGTCCTTAAATATAGGACTGACTATAGCGTCCTTCGAGTCTCTAGGGAGTTGAGCGAGTGAAAGGAACATGTTGAAGAGGGTCGCAAGCGGTAAATATCTATGTTCTAGGTCACACTTGTAGAACTATGGTCTACTATAATATTAGTGCTGCTCTAATAATAGACCTAATCCTAAATTTGTAGATTTGTCATGATATAACTGCCTAATCTATAAGATCTTACGTGGAAGTCACACCATCGACTACAACAACTCACTGTATCGTATCAACTACCATTACATGATGTAGAACAAGGTTAAGCTAAAGAAGGAACAATATATTTAGTATGAATAGAAGATATATGGTAACATTCAGAGGGACCACGCCTGCATGGCCGAGCCATGCCATCCGATCAACCCCAGTCCATTCAGTTTATTATTCGCGCCTTCTCCATCGTTAGGTATTTCTTCGCGTTAAATATTGAATATCTATTTTCTGAGTAATCTCGTATTCAGCTTTGAGGATTGTGTGGTTATGGTCCAATGCCACTACACACGGGTTCTGTTGAACATTATAATTCTGGCATTGCATAGGTAACGGTCCTATGTACTTATTTTAAGATATTAGATGACAAGGACAGCGGTATATTTAGAGAAAGTCTGCAGTCTTAAAATTACAAATCTCAAGGTGAATCTGTTGTTTGACACAGTAAATATTACCGCGCTTAAAACTAGTCCGCTGGGACCAAAATTGTATTTTACTGATGGGGACAAACAATTTGGATTGTAGTGTGTCGTTTGAAATACCAATACGAGACGAGGTCCAGTCTCCTAGGGCGTTACGCCTGCTTTCATCTCCGAATTATATTCGGAATGATTCTGATTTAAATGAAAGGCTGGAGAAAGCTCGGGAAAGACGATCTAACGTTCTAGCTGTGAGTTGAAGAATAGGGATATATAATCTTTCAGGAAACTATAAATCGAAATGAGCAACATGTTCATTTAGCTAAGTCTAAATGTGAACAAGAGAAAGAGAAGCTGGTAAATCGATCAAATGAATTAATGGAGAATCTCACGGAGGATTTGGCACAGAAATCGTCTAGGCGGCAACAAATTATCGACAAGATAGTTAATAGGAACAAGAAAGAAGTAAAGAAAGATTCGTTATAAGTTGTCTTTTAGATTGAGAAAGCAAAACAACTTGCGGATGCCCGTGCTTCCCCACAAAGTATCTTGCTTCGTCAGATCAATGATGATATGTCCAATAAGGAAAACAACAGACGTTCTCACCTACAAAATATAGTTCATCAGTGCCAGCTGGAGGTAGATCCATAGTTATGTATTTATATATTCCTCATAGCCTTTTCATTTTTTAAGTGGATTTAGACCTTAGAATTCTGGGGATCTTAAGATGACACGCATTAGTAATTATTTTCACCAGCGAAACTTACTACGATACCAACGCATATAAAACGGTATAGTCAAGCCTCATGATAGCGCCTTAATCAGCCCCAACGTTTCTCAATGACACCGAGTTTGATTACTGGTGCCACAGCAAGCCCAGTAGACTAACATCAATCCTAGTATGTGTAAACTAATCATTTACTTAGGCATAAAATGTCCACTGCACTGTGAATTCTCACACCCAAGTAATTTTTCGCAACGTATTGCTCCTTTGATTTACGACTTGGATCAAATCTATTTGTAAAAGGCGATTCCCATCCTATCATAAATATTGCTTTTACTGGCTGGCCTTCGCTTGATTTTCACATTATGAAAGGTTAGAAGAAACTTCCGAAGTGAGGATATCCACACTATTTACGAGGTAATACTTAGTTGTCAGTTCATAGGGTAACTGTTGTCATTAACGTCGACCCTTCGAAATAAACCAAGTCATATGACGACGATTTCGTAGTCCTGATCAGACTCATAGTCTCTTCGGGAGATAACACGAAGGGCAAGGTGTGTGGTTTAGAACAGTTGTTTTATTGTTCCCTACATTTAACCTTTAACGAATTCTGATATTTCTGTTTTTTAAAATACTGCTTATTAATCAGACCAAATAAACTTATTGTTTGCCATAAAGATTCTGCCTTTTCCTAAGTAGCTAAAACCAACGTAACCACTCGCTCCATTCTGATTCGTTTTGTGCTGATTAGTTACAAATTGTGGTCGTTTATTTTTGTTGCTTAAAGCATTTAAAGTGCATTTAATAACTGCTTCATGTGAAGTACGCACACTTATTTACACGTCCTGTGTATAGACTTGTTTTCACTCCTAAAACATTCTTGTTCCTAGAGGTAGTACTTATGATATTTTTAACCTTGAGGTACTCGAGCTGTTTGTTGTTCTTGTTACATATTCCTTTTAATGACTACTGAGTTGACTTCTTACTTTCTGCCTTTCTAAGCATATTTATATTTTTTTCCAGATAGAGAAAGTTCAGTCTGTGCGACCTCGCCGGTCTATTAACGACAACAGCATGGAATAAAATATTCAAAAAGACCTATCCGCTCCCTAATATTTTATATCAAATGTCACATCCCACTCCTTTGAAAAGATGTTCTGTATTCCTTAAACCCCAATTAATAAACGTAGAGTGATATCATAAATGTGATTTCCTATACTTTCTTGGCTGGTTAGTACGAATACAAAGACGAACTCGATGTTCCGTGCAATCCACCAAAACGTTCTCATGAAAACAGTAGTTTCTGTCACATTATGATGGTAATCGTGGCACTTTTTATATTCAATACCATATCATAGAAACCTCAACACAAAATATACGATATTTTCTAGCTTTGGTATTGTCTCGACCGTTGTTGCTACCTTGATGTGGTGGTCGGGCTTGCCTATCGTGATGAAACAACCGAGTTATACTGGCTGGAACAACCGTTTCTCAAGGTTTTACCATGTCAGGCAGGTCGGTTGAAGAGCGGTAAGACTAAAAGCAACAAACCCAGGGTCCAAAGGCGAAGTCGTACTGGTGACTGTACAGAGGTGTGGCGGCAGTAAGGTGTTTCTTTCGAACAACCAGCATGACGGTGATGCTGCCTTCACACAAGGAGGGGAGGGTTTAGAGAAGGTCGACGCAGGGTATTAGGAAAGGATGGTAAATCAGTTGATGAGGTTATGAATCTTCATCGACTGAGATGGTTGGGCCACGTGTTACGTATGCCTGAACACCGATTACCACGACGTGCAATGCTATCCAGTATTGGAAATGGTTGGAAGAAAGTTAGGGGCGGCCAAACCAAAACGTGGCATCAGTGCTTGAAGTCACTAACCTCTAGTCTGAGCCATGTTGGTAGATGCAGACTACTTGGTTGGGGTCCGCGTGACTATCGTAACCAATGGTTGGAGACTCTTGGTGACATGGCTCAGAATCGATCACAATGGCGTCGGTGTATACACTCCCTGTCTTCCCTTAAACTATGAGATTAAAATCGCTTCATATCTTTCTTGCTACGAACCAATTCTTTCTTCTTGTACTATATCTCTATGTTCAATCTTTCTCTTATATATTACCACCTTTTACCTAACCACTGTTATGAATCTGGTGTTCATCTTGTTGTGTTGATGCGGTATGGCAACCTGGACCGATGCACACATGTGCCTGGTCCTACGTTGTAGCTGACTGACTGACTGACCCTAAAAATGCACACCTCGCCTTATCTCCCACGGATACCCGTCTCTGACGGTAAGGTCTCAACAAGTACGGAGCTCACACAAAAATTACCCATAAAAAGGTCGTGTGTGACCGACCTCAAGCAGTTGTCCCTTGGGCACTGCGGTCACGCTCCCAGGTCACTAAGACCACCTCTAATCCAATTTCCTTTTCAGATACCTCCAGAAGAACCCTTCCACGGTGTAGGCAACCGGGAAGTGATAACCGCCCTCATACCTTTAACACCACTGTATTCGTAATCAACATCCGTCTTCACTTCCTATTATTGCTCCTACATCGACTTTCACCTCTAAACTTCCTTTTTCGGCTTCCCCGTCAAGCGTCACCATAACCAACGATTCTAGTGCTCAAAACACTGTCCCAGGTCTACTGAAACCTCGCTCCAAATTACACATTGGAGCCTTCAACGTACGCACTCTATGTCAAATCGGTCAGCAGGCTTCCTTGGCTAAAACCATGGAATCTCGTACCATTGGTGTATGCTGTGTCTCTGAAACACGCATACAGGATCCCAGTGTGGTCATTCACTTGATCTCACCTCGGCAAAACGGAGAGCCAGCGAGATACACTCTCCGTGTAACTGGCGCCGCGACGGCCAGCTCTCATGTACTGGCAGGAGTAGGGATAGCACTAAGCATGAAGGCGGAACAAACACTGTTATAGTGGATCCCCGTTAACAGTTGTTTATGTGCTGTTCGGCTAAACGGCTCCGTAAGAACTCGGAAGGATAGAGACACACGTCGTTGCCTTTTTATCGTTTCTGCCTACGCTCCCACCAACTGTAGTTTAGATGAATTTTACAGGAAGCTATCTGAACTTCAGAAAGCTAAACGCTTAGACATAGTACTCGTAGCAGATAACTTTAATGCGCAGATAGGTAGCTTAGACCAAACAGAAAGGCATTTAGGTGGGTATTTTAGTACTCCGGCACAACGAACAGATAATGGTGATCGTCTGCTGCAGCTGTGCTCAGACAATCGCTTATTTTTAGCAAACACAAATTTTAGGCATAAAGAGAGACATCGTCTAACATGGCGACCCCCTACACCAAACCAACGATGGACTCAAATAGACCATATTGCCATCAGTCATCATTGGAGAGGGTAAGTAGAAGATTGTCGCTCATCCTGGAGTACCTGCTTAGATTCCGATCACGCCCTAATGCGGGCACTCATCTGCTTGTGCCTCACTGGACGCGAAAACGCCTCAGTAAAAAGACCCATTAGAACTGAATTGAGTAGCGGGAAAACCAAAAGTCGGTTCCAGGAACAACTGAGGTCACACTTAGGTAGTTCTGAAAACGAGACTGACCCAGACGTTGTTTGGAAAGCTATACAAACAGCAGTGACATCTATCAGTGATTTAAACCACAGGGTTACAAAGAACCAATGGATTTCCTCAAGGTCTATTGCACTGATGGATTCTCGTAAACTCATCCCATCAGGCTCTGAATACGGTGGAGAGCGACAACAAATCAGGCCTGGGTTAACCAAAAGTCTAAGGAACGACCGTGAGCAGTGGTAGGCAACGAAAGCAAAAGAGATGGAAAAGGCGGCGGCTATAGGGAACACAAGACAGCTCTACAGACTAATAAAAGAAACTGGAACTAATAAGTCAAGTGTAAGTGAGATTATTTCGGAAAAGGACGAAACTCTCATCTACTCCCAGTCCGGACGTTTAGGACGATGGGCTGACCTTCAGCGACTCTACAACTACCGTCCATTCCCAGTGTGAATGGAACATTGAAGTAGGTCCCCCAACTCTAGCAGAAGTTCAAAAGGCTATAGTTAATCTGAAACGAGGAAGGGCAGCTGGTCCAGATGGATTGGCTCCAGAAGTCTTTAAGGATGGTGGTCCAATTTTAGCGGTTAGGTTGACTAATATTTTAGCTAAGATCTGGGAGTCAGATGTTATTCCATCTGACTGGTCGCAATCACTTATCGTTCCAATATACAAGAAAGGATCAAAATCATCTTGTGACAACCACAGAGGGATTAGTTTAACAAATATAGTATCTAAAATACTAGCCTCAATAATAATCAGACGCCTAACTAAGACCTGTGAACTGCAAACACGAGAAAACCAAGCTGGCTTCAGACCTGGTCGTGGCTGCATCGACCACATATTCACCATTCGTCAGGATCTAGAACATAGGCAATACTTATCAGCGTCCGACAATGGTGGTCTTTCTTGATTTAAAAGCAGCATTTGACTCTGTAGACCGCGAGATTCTGTGGCAGTGTCTGTCATTGAAAGGCGTACCCCAGAAGTACATAAACCTTGTGAAGGCTCTCTACTCGAACACTACCAGTCGAGTGAGAGCTTATGGCGAACTGTCATCTACTTTTGCAACCTCAAGTGGTGTCCGTCAAGGCTGTCCACTTTCTCCATTTTTGTTTGACTTCATCATAGACCTATTGATGGAAATAACATTCTCGTCTACTAAATTTTCGGGTATTGATCTCGGTGGAGTTTTGTTCTCTGAGCTGGATGGTTTGGTCGTGGAGCTTTCATCGTTCTTCTGAACGACATCATCAGCACAAACTTCAGATAGAAGTGAAGTGTTTGAATTTCTCCATATGTGTCTCAAAGCTTGTTCTGTGCACCTCGACGTTGATTGGTTCTTATTGGGTATTGATCTCCTTCCAGGAGGTCCACTTATCGACTTAGAATACGCAGATGATATATTCCTGTTTGGTGAAGACGCTGATAAAATGCAGTCTTTTGGTGGCACTAAGCAACATTGCCAGAATGTTTGGAATGCGCTTCTCTCCTTCTAAATGCAAGTTGTTGCTTCAGGACTGGGATAGGAAGTGAAGTAGTCGAACGCGTTGATAACTCCACTTATCTTGGAAGTCTGATCAGCCCTAATGGGTTGGTATCGGACGAAATCTCATGACGGATTCGAAAAGCTCGCTTGGCCTTTGCCAACTTACGTCACCTATGGCGAAGGCGAGATATCCGTCTATCAATAAAAGGACGAGTATACTGCGCGGTAGTTCGTTCTGTTCTACTTTACGGCTGCGAAACTTGGCCATTAAGAGTAGAAGATACTCGTAAGCTACTAGTATTTGACCACAGATGACTTGGAAATATTGCTGGCGTCTGCTGGGATTACCGGGTAAATAATAGTGAGGTTAGACGCAGGGCATTAGGGAATGATGGTAAATCAATTGATGAGGTTGTGAATCTTCACCGACTGAGATGGTTGGGCCACGTGTTGCGTATGCCTGAACACCGATTACCACGACGTGCAATGCTAACCGGTGTTCGGGATGGTTGGAAGAAAGTTAGGGGCGGCCAAACCAAAACGTGGCATCAGTCCACAAAGTCACTAACTTCTGGTCTGAGTCATCTTGGTAGATGCAGA